AAAATATATTATATTGGCCAAGGGATAATCCCAAGTATGAATGTAGCGGGCAGATATACTATATCTGCCCGCTCGGAGCGGGACGTAAAGCTATATCTGCCCGCTGATGAAAATATAAGATTTTACAAACCGGCTTTATGTACCTGTAACACGTCCAAGTATGGGATAAAAATAAATATTAAATTGGTTGGATAAGTATAGAATATCCTATGATTTTGAGAGATATCATCTTTATCCACGAGTCTACGCTCCCTCGTCCAGATATTGATATCATTAATCATTTTCATATTTGTGATGTCATGAAATCACCATGTAAGCAGATAACATGAACTCATGTAACAATGCACGTTACACACAATGTATGTAGGGGTTTTCAAATGCGTGGAAAAAAGTGATATCTTTGGAATATTCTCAGTGTTCTAGACTATATCCTATTTAGTCTGAATTATATTCAGACTATAAGGCACCTATGTTAAAGTTTGGCAATTCTATATATTTGTTTACATAGGAAGTGCTATTCAAAATGGCCGATTGGGTAAAATTAATTTGCACATTTGTTACTTCAACTAGCTTTATTTCCACTTGACAATATGCTATGTTACTTTTTATTGCATTTAATTGTACCTTACTATTTAATTGAAATTTTGTAATGTTTATTTTATTGAAAAAATGGTTCCTCCAATTGATAATTTTGTGCAAAAAATTTCACTGCAATTTCCACAGGAAAGTAGTACATCATAACAGACTGACTTCTAGTCAGTCTGTTGGATACATACTACTCAGTGTTCCACAGATATCGCTTTTTTCCACACATTTGCATAAATACTATATATACGTGTTATTCTACAGATTTGACATAAATTATGGGATAACATTCAATATTGAGTGTAATATTACAATTTTGACAGGCTTCAGTTCAATCAGAACAGTCATGTTGCTACATGTTCCTGTGATGAATGGGTAATAGGAGCACAGAGAACTATAATTTACATCCTTTTAAGTGTCTTTAAGCATTTATTAAGAGAATAAACATTAGCAACGATACAAATCATGTGGAAATAGTTCTATGTGAAGAGGAGGACTTCCCACAACCGTGTGCAGTGGACAGAATGATCATGATGAGAATTAGTCCAACAACATTAGACCTAGCCTGGGCCTCGTTTCTTATCTGACATGTCTTATGGCCCCGGCTAGGTCTAACCTCCATGATCATTTTGCCCTTGTTGCGCGTTCCGCAGGTTTCGACCAGCGGAACTAATTAACACTGAAAACATGGTAATATTACATAAAGAATGTGATTCAAGCATGCATACATACCTTATGAATACATACACACCATCCCGTATCCCCCTTAGACCCTATTGATGCATAATTACGAAAATATTGGAGACAGGTTTGGAATTTTACGAAAATGTCGGTCAGTTCCGGTAACATCGAAATTGCAAATCGTTTCAGGAATTGACCGTCATTGCGACACTGCATCAACGAACAGTAGGTTTGCAATTAATAACTAATTTGCGTGTATACAAGCGCTACATAAATCAATCAAAGATACCTGTTATCCTCAAAATTGATCTTTATATCCCGAGTAATCGCGTGATAATTATCAATCTATTTGACAACAATTTCGTTTCAATAGTTTAAATTTTAACCCGGGACGAACAGACACAATGACGGACATGCGGAATGTCATTTTAGAGATTGGTAAGTTTAACCTCATTTTACTTGTATAAATGACCATTTAATACAATAATATTGTGTTGAATCGCTTGATGTTATGTGTTTTTATATTGTTGTCAATTAATAAGTAATTTCATGCGCGTTTAATTAATAACTGATAGTGAGAATTTGCAACAAATGAAAGCATACCACGGAAGTTAAACCCAATCACGGCAACAAGAACATTCAGATTAATAAATGAAAGCCGTGGTATTGGGTTTAACTTGTTGAACTAGATGAGAATCAGAATATTTTTTGACAATTCTCATTTTCTTCGATGTAGCGTAAAAACTCTGATCTAAAGTTTAATAAAATAAAAATAAAAGACTGTATCCTCTGTGATTGAAATAGAATCTTACCTGTGATTCATTATATGGGGCCCCGATTGCAGGAAAGTCATCAAATTGTTGAAGAAGAAAAAGTTGTTTTGGTTTTTAAAAATTACACATGGCGGTTCAACCAGGAAATGACGTCATGAAACCTGCCATCTATAAAACTTCTTGGAACTAAAACCACAGGTCTGCACAAGGGTCACAAGGGTAAAATTTAAGGCCGTGCCTGGAGAGCCTTAAAATTTAAGGCTCTCTAGCCAAATGGGTTACCAAAATGCTAAAGAGCCTTAAATTTTAAGGTTCTTTAGCATTTTGGCTAAAGAGCCTTAAATTTTAAGGCTCTTTAGCATTTTGATAGCCAATTCTGCTAGAGAGCCTTAAAGGAATTCCAGGCGACAGAAATGACGAAATGTTGCTTCTTGGACAAGATCAAACGACTTTCACATATTCTATACCCAACCTATTTTGTAATTCAACAATCAGCACAAATATACATACCATATTAGCAGATATCAGACAAATTCAAAAAGAAGATTTTTTTGATCGATAAAATCACTGATTATTAAACTGGAAGTGTCTTATACCTGTATACCTGTATACCATTTCTTCTGGAAGAAGGAAGAATCCTATATTATCCAGATCTTGTTATATGTAAGGTCTTACTAAGTGGGAAAAAGGTGGGGTGGGGGTTGTTTTCTTGAAAGCTCACTGGACATGGGTTAAAGGGGCTGTCATCTAGTTGTAGTGGTACTTTAGGTTATGGAAGTGTTTGTCAATTTGCGCCTTGAACTGGTTGACATTGTCAGCATCTATTGCAGTCTGTGGGAGATTGTTCCAGTCTTTCACAATTCTGTTTCCGAAAACATTCTTCCTGACATTCAGTCTACTGTATCTTGTATTGAGCTTCTCAGTGTTTCCTCTGGTTCTATGAGCTTCAGATTTTTCAGCAATGTCAGTGATATTAATCCTGTCAAGACCTTTTATGATTTTGTAGGTTTGGATGAGATCCCCTCGTCTCCTTCTGTACAGGAGTGATGGTAGTTTCAGGTATCTTAGCCTATCCCCATAATTCATGTCCTTAATTTCTGGTACAAGTTTTGTCGCTCGTCTTTGGACCTTTTCTAGCTTGTCAATATCCATGTTGTGGTGAGGATTCCATACGCTGTTTGCGTATTCCAAGTGGGGTCTTACAAGTGATTTGTAGAGAAGAGGGAGGATTGTTTTGTCCAGATGGGAGAAAGTTCTTTTTATTATTCCAAGGATGCTATTGGCTTTAGAGACTGATAGGTCAACGTGTTGGTGGAACTTGAGATTATTGTCGATATTGACTCCAAGGTCCTTTTCAGTTTTGGTGATATCCAAGATCTGGTCATTCATGGTATATTTATGTTGATCATTTCCATGTCCAAGGTGCATTACTTTGCATTTAGCGGCATTAAAAGGCAACTGCCATTTATTTGACCACTTAGACATATTATCCAGATCCTTTTGTAGTGTTCTTTTGTCTTCTTCGGTTTGAACTTTGCCGTAAAGTTTTGCATCGTCAGCGTACATGAGTATCTCGTTCTTTGTTGCTTCAGGTAAATCGTTGATGAAGGCAGCGAAGGTCCGCGAAGATGAAGAAGATAACATATAAAGATTTCAGTCATTTCAACTAACTTTGCCGTCGATTTGATTTATATGGTTTTAAATGATCTTCTAATGCTTACTATGACTTCTATTAGTACTGTTTTGACTTCCCCACTTCAAAAAAAAACATTATCACTTTTTGCTCGACTCATAAATTTACTTCCGGTCTACCGAGAGAAATAAAAGAACCTTTTCAATCCTCAGTCTAAATTTGGCTTTTTAATGGTTCAAACATCGATTTTGAACGGACTCATGCATATATCGAAAATATATGTCTCTGGTTCACCAGAGAAGGTGTAAGACCAGGCAATCACGTATATAGACAGAAAAATGTTATTTTTACCATTTTATCCACTATAAATCACAACGTCCGTTTAGTAAAGATTTTGATGTATAGACATTTATTGATGGAGTGGAGGCTAGGATAAAAGTGTTGTTGTTGTGTTGCATAAGCCGCTGTTTCCTCGACAGTTCACCTCTTGTACTGTAAATTTTCTTTGTGCTCTCTCATGTGCTTAAATTCTCACTTGTGAGGAAAATATTATGCAAAAATATCTCGTCACGTGAAAAATTCTAAAATCAGCATTGAAATCTAATGAGCAATATATTTGGAAGTGTATTCTGTGATGTCCCTTGGCTGATGTCCCTGCATTCACGATAAACTGCGTCAAAATGTGCTGATCTAGAAGAAACAAGATCCTTTATTCATCCCCAGGTCTTCATCATACTTTTTGCCATCTTAAAATGGGATTCCCTGTATTCTCATGACTATAGCAAAGCCAATACAAGTGATTAATTTCATTAAACATTGATGATTGAGCGATGGAGCAAGCCCAAGAATTCTAGAAAAAATTGTGTACATAATTTCCAGACCTCGGAGAATAAACTTCCGGCTTGTTATTCAAAATAAAAAGTGCTCCGTCTGGGAATCGAACCAACGCCGCCGAAGCGGAGATCGAGCACCCTAACCACTATACCAGAGTGTTTCTCCATGATGGGGCTAAGTTTTTTGCAACTCTATACATGTGTGAAATTTTTAAGTGGCATTCTGGGTTGAAAAACTTTGGAGAGTGTTGTTTTATTGTTTAGATGACGAAAACTTCAATAAAAAACAATATAAACACGGATTATAAACACAAAGGCTCTCTAGCCAAAACACTATGTTCACAGCTAAATAGCCTTAAATTTTAAGGCTCTTTAGCATTTTGGCTAAAGAGCCTTAAATTTTAAGGTACTCCAGACACTTCAAAAATTTAAAAACTACATAATAACAAACACTTTTACACGTAGATATGTATTTCAGTTGAAACAAAATAACACGCAACATCACTGTGAACATAAGCATTCTCTCTTGCATTCTCAAACATTTTCAGTCCGACGGTCGAAACAATTTTTAGGTAGAGCTTACACCTTTGATGACAGAAAGAACAATGATCATAAAAAGATGGCAGAGCAGTATACGTATCCTGTCCTGTCCTTTTTCAGGACTTTAGTTCAGGCACTGCCGGAATCCGCACGGAATAAAGTGTATCTTCTCTAGCCTGTCACATTTCAACTTTCGACTGTCGGCTACCGGATTAGATTACTATGTTATTATCATCTTATTGAGATATGAAGTGAAAATTGTAAGGTAGGCTAGTCTACTGTCTACTCTTCATTTTTAAATGAGTTACCTTAAGTAGTAGGTTAATCCGGTAGCCGACAGTCGAAAGTTGCATTCGCGAATAAAAGCTGAGAAAATACATCATGTAAAATATTCTAAAATATAATTAATTTTTCAAGGTTGTGTAACGACCCTTGATAGCAAGTTGCTACCGTGACAACTGTAGCAACAAGTGACCTAGGTTCGATTCCCACACGGGGCATTGTATTTGGCACACTTTCTTTCAATTGCTTTATCCGGCTTGTTACAATATGCTCGTTAGTAAGGCATTCCCCTGAGGCGCCCTCGATGCGATTCTGTCTTTATTGGTCTTAGAATTAAGAATGCACTGGTTTTCGAATGAGCAATCGAACGTTTTCTGTAAATCAAACATGTACTTTAGCCTTCTTTTGGGACACCCAGTGATCATGAAAAACAACTTTTGAAATGTCATTTGAATGACGTGGGACATGTCAGGGATATACGATTACGATATGGACACTCGTGTCCTGAAATAAATTCATCATTCAAAAGCGAATGCCGGATGATTTTTAGAAAGTGTCCTGGCTTTTTTTGTACTTTTACGATAAGTGTACACATCTAGATCTCATTACGGTACGGTAAGTTTAAAAGTACTATTATAGTGAACATATCATTAACAAGTGATACATCACATATCAGACATGTCAGATCACACAAATCATACAGAAAAATACTGAAATTCTCACGACAAACAAAGTTATGAATGTATTTACAATAATGATCATAAAATGTATGCAAGCCGAATAGCCTAATTAAAAGCGCTGGTTATTAACTGAATTTGTTCTTTCGCTAGTGATGTATGCCTGAATAATGGTATTGTTTATTTTGTCCAAAATGAAACGAAGTACCAGTAATGAATTCGAATTCTCTTTATTCATTTCAAGAATTTTTTCATCATTTAGGAGATATGCGAAGAGCTTGTACCGCACTCTTATATCCTGCTGCAACTGCTTTCGACAAAGTTTCTATCATCTTTTCAGTCGTCTCTAAATTTACGCAGGAATCGGTGACACTTATTCCGTATTTTAACGGTTTATTGGTGTTTTGACACCCTTCAATGATGTTGGACTCTATCATTACCCCCTTGAAATTTCCAAATTCAGCGTTTATGAGTTTGTCGGCAACATATTTGCATACTGAAGGCTGTTTTCTGAAATCTTTGCCACTGTTCCCGTGGCTACAATCAATTATAATACCAATTTTCGTGTTCAAGTCGGCCAATTGTTTCTCTACTCCACGAATGTCCTTTTCTGTGTAATTTGGAGAGTTTGTGCTTCCCCGTAACACAAGGAACGTATTAGGATTACCTTCTGTTTGGACAAGACTTCGTTTTCCATTGTCCATAACTTTGACAAATGTGAAACTTTTCTGAACGGCAAGCGTACTTAGGATTGCAGTTGTCACGTCCCCACTCGTCGTATTCTTGAATCCGACAGGCAAACGGAGGCCTGAAACCATTTGTTTGTGAATCTGTGATTCAGTGGTCCTTGCCCCAATACATCCCCACGTGATCAAGTCACTGAAATAGTCTGCGAGTAAAGGATCAAGAAATTCGGTTGCACATGGAACGCCCATTTTGTTTATGTCAACAAGTAGTTTACGTCCTAACGTAAGGCCCTTGTTAACATTAAACGTGCCGTCCAAATCTGGGTCATTGAGAAAGCCCTTCCAACCATCAAGAGTGCGTGGTTTCTCCAAATACACTCGCATTATTACCATGACTGTATCGCTATACCTGTCTTTAATCTTCTTCAGTTTACGAGCATAGTCCATCGCTTCCGAAACATTATGAATTGAGCAAGGACCAACGATAACCAAGCGTCTGTCATTTTCCCGTTTTAGAATATTCTCTACGTTGCGTCTATGTTCCAAAATACTCTGTTTTAGATTTTGAGAAAGAGGAAATAAGTTCTTCAATTTCTGAACACTCATAACACTTTCTAAAATCGCCATGTTTTGATCAGCTCGAAATCATTTATGTTATGTTTGACTTTTTTTACAAAATGATGTTATTGATTGAAGTCATCCTTTCAGTTTATTCATATAAAAAGGAGGAGTGACGTATGATTGTTGCTCAGGTGTAACCTCTCCATCCTATTCAGAAAAGACAGATATGAATATTTTAAGAAATCCGGACAAAAATATTTACAGATCTTTTTTTTCAGTTGCAATACACATTCGTAAACTATTGTAGGCTATTGTCTTATATTAAAGTTGCTTAATTGAAATTGTTGATATCATCCCAAAAATTGTGCGTTGTTACCTGCCAAAACATCTATGCTTGAAAAAATGAACCTAGAATAGCCGGGATTTGATATACTTAGTACATTACATACCACGATTGCAGCTTGTACATTCGGAAAAATTGAATGTCGTAACATAACCTATTTTTGCACAATCGTATCGTAATCGTAATTGTATTGTATTGTAATGTAATGTAATGTTTTGTATTGTATTGTATTGTATTGCATTGTATTGTATTGTATTGTATTGTATTGAATTGTATTGTAAAGTAATGTATTGTATTGTATTGAATTGTATTGTAAAGTAATGTATTGTATTGTATTGTATTGTATTGTAATATCTTTATTTCCTCCTCGGGGCAATTATCATTATTTAAATATAATCTGAAATTCTTAATCCTCTTATTCACACATATCTAGGCAAGGTGTGTCTAATTCCATCCTATCAGAACACGCTAGTTAAACGGTTGTCATGGTGATGACTGGCCTCTACAAATTGAAATTGATACTTTGCCAGCTTGACCCTGATATTGAAAATAAGTTCAATTAAGATTTCGTATCTTTTAGATAATTTTGTAGAAAATATTTTGCAATGTGTGAAAAGAATTTAAGCCCAAGGCTCAATGCATTGTGAAATGACAATTCCTTTCAGCCTGAAATTAACACTCGATGTTCTGCATCTCGTGCAAATTTTTGAAAGCAAACCTTCATGGTTTGGTCATTCCACATCGCACTGAGTCCAGGGCTTAAATCCTTAAGTACATCCTTAAGTGCAACGTAATTGCTATAATTCACATTTGATAGATAAAAGGAGGGATTTACGATAAGAAAAATATAAACTTTATGAACTTTTATTCATTTATCATAATTAAACTATTTGTATTTGCACTTTCTTTATAAAACATTATAACCCAGCCATGTTATGTATAACCAGTATATACCTGTGTTTTATAATTACTATTTGCAGGTAAATTCATGGAAACGTACCATCACAAATTAAAACGGCACAGACAGAGGTTGTTCAAAATTATTCTAGCAAGATTAGCATGGTTTCAATTTCGGACGGGGACTGGGGGTCAATGGGGGAGTGTAGATCTGTGAATAGGTGTTCAGATCCGAAGTCCCTCGAATTGCCACCGATCTCATTTACATGAGGGCCTAGATAGCCCGGTGAAAGTATTAGTTGATAAAATCACAAAATTAATTTAGGGGCTAATAAACTGCAGGTCATCTTGCGAATTCAAATGTATTCAATAAAGTGTGTTCCAATCGATGGGAACATTCTATAACATGGGTCTTACTTTGATTTTATAACTTCATGTTTTCGAATGTTTAACATCTCTAAAATGTCGTCTAATCTAGTAACACATACTGTGAATCAGATGTGTGTATTGCGTTAGCCTTTGAATAAATTGAAAATAAGCAATGTACAATTTGATAATCGTTAAAGTAGAGGAGGTAATTATGTCGAGGTGAACACGATTAAACATGATTTTTGAAGTAATATCGTGATCGACAACATGTGTTAATGAAGTTGATCTTGAAAATAATTCGAGATAACACTGGATAGCACAAAAACAGACTTTTTGTTTTATTAAGCTCAGTTCACTTCAAGGATATTACACGCAAAAGGTGAGTTCAAATAAATTACATTTTACGTTTTTGATTATAACTATTCGTCGTAATGTTTAGGATTAATTAAATTGCAATTTCTTCTTCTGAAAAACAAAGCGATATCGGCAAAAATCTATTAATAATTCTCGTAGCAATGTTAAAATGGTAAGCAGAACAACCCATATTTGTTTATGTTTACGAAAAAAATCATTGAAACATGACTCACACACTCGCTCAAATATGAAACAAAGTTTGATTTGCTTTAATATTGCCTACTCGATCAGCTGGATTGGCACGGAAAATCAGAGCAACTAAACACAGACAGGTTTTTAAATGCGATGCGTATCAGAATGTACCCTGCGTGCAGGGTCTAGTTACACTACAGACGAAGCTCTCTTTTAAGAAGTGAAGTCAAACGAATGCAAAGGGTAATCAGAATGCGTTTCCGTATAATAATTTATTTTCATTGTAGAATTTGTCGATTCGATGTTGATTCAGTTTCGGAAATATATTTTTTGATATTTTTCTGATATATAATCGTAAAAAACAACTGACAGGAATTCTTGTACCCTCGGATTATGATGACAATCATAGGGATGTTTAACAATATAAATGTAACCCATATTGTTCTAAACTTGAACCCCAATCAACCTCGTCAAAACTGAAAAGTCGAAACAACATCTTTCGCATGGACTTCAAACAAAGAGATAGATAATCAAGTACGATTGTACACTGTTGCTTAAGAACACAGAAATACGGTGTTGTCAAATAACCTAAAATAGCACAATCAACAAGACAAATTCGTGCTTTTACTAGGTGATGTAAAACTGTATAGAAAATGTTGTCAGTCGATCACGAGTGAGCAGACGTATTGTCTATAAATGGTTGAATTGCTTGTATTTTAGATATATCTTCGTATCGGTGAGTCTCAGCAGAAGGAACTGCCCCTGAGTGATTGTAGCCTACTGCAGTATTGTACTATACGGGTAAGTTGTCATTTGATTATTGTTTGCAGGAAATTTGCTTGATGACAGGATAGGGTTCTGATGCGAACGCACTTATCTTCATTTTATGTACGTGATAATGCAAAGTTTGTGTAAGATTTCAGTCAGTTAGGAATGAAAATTATTGAAAACATCATTCATTTTTTATCTATATATATATAAATATCATAAGTTTATTGTTCTAATGAGAGGTTTACATAAATCAGCCCAGCACATCTGAGCTTTTCAACCGCTTTAAGTCTAACTTATCAAAGATTATCCGATAAATGAAAACATAATTATTAGGACAAGTTTTATATATGACTGCATCTTATGAAAACATTCTATCACAAAATGATGCTGCTGTCACTCCATATCACAGTTTTGTACACAGCATAAAAACAGCATAGTCTTTCCAATCCATTTTCAAAAAGGACCCATCCTTATCAATTTTAATATACACTTCCCTCCATAAGTTTGGCAACCTTTTTTCTCCATTGAACTACGTGTTAAAGCCTCTTTACGTTTGAATTTTTATTTACTTAACCGGCAATGAAATAACTTATAATATTGATGGAAACGTAACTTGACTTTATTTCCAATACCTCCAAATTTTTCTCAATTTTTTTCCTCAATTACAATAGCTCGAAAATCGATGATAAATTTTTGAAAATCGTCATTCCCATGTAATCCAATGGGAATTGGAGGGTTCGGGGCAAATCAGAAATCAGGATATCTTTTCAGTAAAAGATTCAGCAAAAAATATTTTTATATAGAAAATTGAATTGTCTAACTTTTTTTAACACTAAGTGTTTAGTTTATTTGATGAATATTAAAGATACAGCGCTTCAAAGTCATTTTTGAAAAGAATTTTTCGCCTCCTGTGTTATTTCAATGGGAGAGGTTTTTTGAAAAACAATTTTGACTTTAAAGCCCTATAACTTTGTTGAACCTGAAGAAACATATCAATTTTTTGTTAAATAAAGTTAGCAAATTCAATTACCTGCCTAACTCGTATTTTTTGCAAGGACTCGAATGGATGGATATTCTGTCATATGACTTGCGGCAAACCTACCATTTCCCATTGGTTAACATGGGAATGTCGATTTTCAAAAATTCATCAAATTCATCATCAATTTTCGACCTACTGTAATTGAGGAAAAAAATTGAGAAAATTTGGAGGTATTGGAATTAAAGTCAAATTACGTTTCCATCAATAGTATAAGTATTTTCATCGCAGATTAAGTAAATAAAAATTCAAAGGTAAAGAGGCTTTAACACGTAGTTCAATGGGGGAAAAAAGGTTGCCAAACTTATGGAGGGGAGTGTACCTATACACAATAGCGCTAAAAGTGATCGTTCGTATCAATAAAATGTCGTTAATTTTGATTTTGAACTCAGGATACCTGACCATCCATATTTATGATTGGTCACAAGAATTTGAAGTACAATTCTTGTGTCACAATATGTCATTTCATTAAAATGAACAGTGAGGTCGCATTTATCCTAGACACCTTTTACAGCTTGGGACCATTTTCATTTACATTTAATATTTTATATGTTTTCTAGATAAAAAATATGCGAAACGATAATTTCTTGAAGATCCTTATTTTATTAAAACTATGGCTACGGGGTCATCGGAAAAGTTGGAGTAGATACCATCATCGTGACTTTCTCGTTCTCTAAATGGCCCTTTGTATTTTATAGTCGATGTGTCGTAGTCTCCTCCCGTGCAGTTGTATCCAAGGCAACGTTATCGATACCAATCAATTCATCGTTTGATCCATTTTCTAAAAAAAGGGAGGTCATTTAAGTGAAGCTAACTATTTCATTAATTTACATTTTAGAAGGGCTAATCTAAATCATATTATGAAAAATAAATTGTCTCCAAGCAAACCGGATCTCCAAAGGAAAATGACTGCTCTTCGATTAATCATGAAATTATCGTACCGTGTCGAGATTCTATAATATCCATGTGATTCTTGCTTCCCCACCCATCTCCATAAGACGCCGCTGGGTACGCCGGCTCGTTATGTTTGCTAACGTCTAGGCCTGCAAATCAAATAGTCATGCATCAAGTCCCTTATATGTCTTGTTTTTCCCCATTTCCCTGTTACAAATATAACCCATTAGGTACTTGAAGATCTTTATAGAAGCACTTTTGAAAAATTGCTATTGCTATAATAGGCGACTTTGTAATTTTCAGGTTCAAAATAAACATTAGAGAGATGTGTATTTTTCTCTACCTTTTCAGGAAAATATCCTAACATTATCTTTTTTCCAGTAAATCTAGTAAGATGGTCAATGCCAAAATCAAGATATTGATATCTAATGAGACACATTCAAATTGACCGCCATTTAACTTTTAATTATTGCTTCAAGGTGGTCGTGATCTTGAGATATACATGTGGGTGCAATTGTTACCTTTGAGTTCTATCTCTCTAGGTACTCTTAGTATTCCAAACGCCCTGAGGAGACCGAACATAGAGCCACAGCATAGTACCGTCCATGCGATAATGGCACAAAGACCTGTTAGACCCCAGGCTAGTTTCTAAAAACAAAAATAATATTTTTCCTGAAAAGAGAATGTGAGATAACAGAAACATGGGACTATTAGTACGAACCGCATAAAGGGGATTCTTCAAAGGAATATGATACATTATCATTTGTAATTAGTTATCCTCTTCAAATTGTTCTCCTCCCTCCTTGTTGCCATCGGGCGAAATCTAAGACTTGTGCGGTTCATCACCGTACCGTCTACTGATAAATTATTTCTTTCTCATTGTTCACAAGTCTTTTTTATTGTTAATTTCTTAAATCTTTACCATCGCTTTACTTACTATAAATGCCCGTCTGTTAAATGTATACAATACACCGACATCCGCCTCAAATAGCTGAGCGGCAATGAGTCCCCATATACCTGCGCCAGCGTGAACTAAAACACAAAGACTTATGTTACGTTTGAAAAAAATTCATTGAAAACTCATCCATAGATGTCTCCTTCGTTTATCTTGGATTCTCAATACTATGTCGCACCCCTTACAATTCCCGTGCAAAGTTTGAACATGTTTCTTTTTTCAACTACATATTATTAATATTTAACATTGTCAATATAACTCTGACTAAAAATAGGTTTACCTGCGATTGCGTCAACCGGGTCGTCCACCTTTACCTTGACCATTAACCAACTAGTGAACATGCATACAAAGCCGCCTATAGCTCCCATCACTGCCCCTGACCACATACGTACACAGCAGCAACCGCTGCACACTGAAACCTAAACAAAACCCCACATAGGTAGAATGAACTGCATATTATTTAAGAAATGTACTGTCGTAACAAAAGAAGAGTACATTTTTCTATTGTTTTAAAGAATGGCGAACTGGCCTATCGAAAACCAGCATGTTCCCAAAAACGTATTAAACGTCACAGTTGAATACCACAGTGTAAGCCTAAATCGATCATGGACCATTTACCTTTCACAAAAGTCAGTGTGGGTTTTAGATAATATAAACCATTTGTACGGGCTGTTAGGATAACTAATGGCCTCGGGTCTACGGCCCTTAGCAATTATTTCACATAACAGCCATGCGGTAAAATATACTCACCATTCCTGCTAGACATCCATTTATCGCTGAGAGAAGGCTCCATTTCCCCGTGTATAACCTTGTAGAAATCAACACGACCATACAGCCAAACGACCCGCCATTTATGGTATTGAGTACTGCTATGGAAACCACGTCCGCATCACCGGGTTTAGAAATAGCTAAGTTCGAGCCACCGTTGAAGGCAAAGAACCCGAAGAGGAGTATAAAGACTCCACATGCTATCATCTGCAATTGGAATTACCTGTATTAAATACATAAATATGGATATCGATTTCATCATTTGAACCAAGATCAGCTTCTTATGGATTCATATTTCTATCAACGTCTTCGATGAATATGAAGTGCAAAATGATCGTTTAACATGTGGTACACAACCTGAATTTGATAATCTTGTGTTCTCTTCATTTATTCACTCCAAAATACACTCCCTCCATAAGTTTGGAAACCCCCTTCGAACTTGAAATACGTGTTAAAATGCAATAACGTTGTCAGCCGTGTAACATTTTTATCTGCCTGATTGATTAGTAAAAATCGACACAGATAGGCATTATATTCTAAATAGAAGCACACCTTGGGATGTACGTTGATTTACGGAAAGTGTTTCAAACTTGTCTGAGAGTGCATATATCAATAGCTTACTGGAATTGAGTGTCCTCGAATATCCACCGGTTTACCATTTTCATCAAACCGTCCTATCCTAGGCCCAAGAATCGCCGAGCCGCACAGGGCCGCCACTCCTGACAGTGTATGGACAGCACCACTACCAGCGAAGTCAAAATATTCAGCTTTGAACACCTCACCGTTTTCATCAGTTGCATTGAATCCCTGGAGTAGCCATCCGTTGGGGTCCCATGCCCAATGGGAGACTATTGGGTACACCACTCCTGGAAAGGCGAAGAAATAGTGGAGGAATATGCTAAAAGAGGGGAAAAAACTCTAAAAATATATTTCTGTTAAAGTTTTAATGAGGCATCATGCCTATAGTGTAGCTTTGCCTCACGCGCGATTTAGTTTTGGGCTTGATGACAGGCCCGCAGTCAGGAGCGGGGTGAGGGGGGGGGGTCAGGCTGTGGACCCCTTGGCAAAAACTAGCTTCCAACTCCCCGGCTTATAAAAATTGACTCCTTTAATTCTCTAGTAGGTGCTATGTGTAACCAGAGTATCTGGGTACTTATACTCATTTGAATCTTCCAACTAATTCGTTGTTTTGTTAGAGTCGAGCTAGTTTGACTTAAGAAAACAATTTTCTAACAGTCCGATAGATCTCATCGCGCCGCAGTGTTAGCGATGTAGTGATAATGGAATTTCTCAGATAAGCCTTAATTAAGCTGTTTCCTCCTGTTCATCCTCCAATTGTTTTGGTGAGTTAAAATGATAAAACACATATTCCTGCACACGTTTTCACTTGTTGAGCACTTGTCAACATTAACATTTACTTATTATTGAGGGATTTAACAGAGGTCCACAAAAAATAAAAAATATTAGATTTTGATACTTTTGAAGTTTACAACAGATTATCTACTTATGCATCGGTTTTTGGGAAGGTTATTAGCATGACATATTGATTTTATCTGTTTAATTGAAAATAAGATCACCTGTCTGACTATATTTTGCATTTAAAATGATTAAAATTAATTGTTCCATTCAGTTCACTTTCTTTTAACATCATCTTGTTTTTGTTAATCCGCCAATTGTTTTGATATGTTTAAATGATAAAACATGTATTCCTACATACGTTTTCACATGTTGAGCACTTGTCAACATTACCATTTACTTATTATTGAGGGGTTTGACAGGGGTCCACAAAAAATAAAAATATTAGATTTTGGTATTTTTGAAGTTTACAAAGGATTATCTACTCATGAATCGGTTTTGAGAAGGTTATTAGCATGACCTATTGATTTTATCTGTTTAATTGAAAATAAGATCGTCTGTCTGATTATATTTTGCATTCAAAATGATTAGAAATAATTGTTCCATTTTGTTCACTTTCTTTTAACATCATCTTGTTTTTGTTGATCCGCCAATTGTTAAATGATATGTGTAAATGATAAAACATGTATTATCACATACATTTTCATCTGTTGAGGACTTTACCGTTTACTTATTATTGAGGGGTTTAACAGGGAGGGGTCAACGAAAATATTAGATTTTGAATTAAAGTTTTGAAGTTTACAACAGATTATCTAGTCATTTTTTTTTTTTTTTTATATTGTATTTCTTTATTTCAAATTATTACAATAAACAAAAATACATTATACATCTAGTCATTCATCGGGCTTTGGAAAGTTTACTAGTATACCATATTGATTTTATCTCGATGTACATTAGATGTTCAAGAGAATTATTTATTAATTATTGAGGGGTTTAACAGGGGTTCACAAAAAATATTAGATTTTGATATTTTTGAAGTTTTTTTGGAAAGGTTATTAATATTAGTATGCCATTGTTTAATTGAAACTAAGATCGTCTGTTTGACTATATTTTGCATTCAAAATGATAAAAAATAATGGTTCCATTTAGTTCACTTTCTTTTAACATCATCTTGTTTTTCGTAGATCTGCCAATTGTTAATGATATGTTTAAATGATAAAACATATATTCCTACATACGTTTTCACCCGTTGAGGGCCTGTCAACATTACCGTTTACTTATCATTGAGGGGTTTAACAGAGGTCCATAATAATGAAAAATATTAGATATTGACACTTTTGAAGTTAACATCGAATTTTCCACTTATGAATCGGCTTTTGGAAAGGTCATTAGCATGATATATTGATTTTATCTGTTTAATTGAAAATAATATCTTCTGTCTGACTATATTTTGCATTCAACATGACAAAAAATAATGGTTCCATTTAGTTCACTTTCTTTGAACACAATCTTGTTTTCGTTGATCTGCAAATTGTTTCTGCCTATATTCCTACATACGTTTTCACCTGTTGAGCACTGAAACTGAGCACTGTTTACATTTTAAAACCTTGGAAAAAGCATTTGATCACATATAATATTGCATTTAAATCATAATCTAAGATGAGTTAGGAATTTATTCCCACTATTATAGAAATGGATTTTAACATCAATAAAGCATATGATATGATGTGGGGTGATTTTTGCGATACGGGCTCTGCAAGCATCTCTACAAGCAAATAACTTTAGTAATAGAAAAGTGTTTACCCTGATTATTTTATTTAGTAGAAAATAGACTGTCCTATGAGGCAATGCAAGAACCCAAACTTTCTATTGAAATTAATTAATACCGTCTCGCCCAATATTTTTTTCTCGAATAGGTATTCTGCCATATCCAGCTCCTGATCATCCAGTATTTGTTTAATATTGCCCGCAGAAATGACGTTATTAGAATTATTGCTCAGGTCGATATAGTAACATAAATGCCACCTAAACTAGCACTAATACCCCTAAAACATGCCCCGCAAGGTGGTAATAATAGTAATTTATCCGAGAACTATCCACAAAATGTTCATCTTTTTTAATTAATCTTGAATTAAATCTTCAATAAATGAAAATCTGAAACACTTTGTATTCAAAAAATTCAGTGTGCCATGTTTATAGTATTCACATACCAGAGAGGATCAAAATCGCTCCACAACTTTTTGAGTTATTGTAAAATACGTTAAAATGGCGGCTATGTTTAAAATGGCCGCCTTCTCCCAAAAGTGTCATTAGACAGTGTGCCATGCTTATAGTATTCACATACCAAATATGAACGAAATCACTCCACTACTTTTCGAGTTACAGCGAAAATCGTAAAATAACAAACCATTTTTCAAAATGGCTGCCATGTGCTTCTTTAATATCTACATTTCTAGCTTTATTAATGTCTTATATAATTTTTTTCATTTAATTGCTATTACAGTTTTTACTCGTTGCAAGATCCTGGGGAAATCGCTTATTTTACGCCATTTTTAATATTCATCCTTTTACCATTTCGCTGTACATTAGAGTTACATAACCTATTATATATCATTTTGAAGGGTAACCCCTCATCCTTTTGACTATAGCATTAAGATGTATTAGAAATCTAGCATAACGCAGCGTTCTACGGTTTTCTATGCGAGGAAACTGCAAATTAACGTTGTAATAATGTAACGTACATGTAATTCCTTGTAAAAATACCTTAAATCATGAATATTTCGGTAAAACGTTGATCAAAATGCTTCAAAATTTGCTCCTACATTCACTGGACCATGTTAAATTATGACGTCATAACACATTGACGGTTACAATTCAAATATTTTGTATAGAACGCATTAGATTTCTTCGGGGAAAGTGTAAGATATTTTGGCGTAAAACACATGGGGTAAGTTAACTGCTTCTAACTTTTTTATTACTAGACAAAAGATAAAGATTTTTGATATGGACAATATTGTCCTGGCGAAATTAAAGAATATCTCCTCAAAATATATACTTATGGGCTTTTACCCTGCGTAAAGCCAGATACAAAAAGAGCACATTTTTACATTATTTTTGCGCATAGTCTATTTTGAGGGGTATTTTAATGGATTCAGATATAATATTTTTAAAATTTGACTTGATTTTCAAAATATTGTCCTTGCCAAATTAATGCCTGTGAATTTTCAATAAGATTAATAATTAGTAAAGCACCATACTTTAAAAATAAAAAGTGGTACAAAAATGTACGTTCCCTATTTTACGATGTAAAGGAGATTCTTAGTCAGTCTTTTGTTAAGATCGTCCTGTTGTTATCAGTCGTGTTATGACGTCATAAATGATATCCAAAACACTTAATGTTTATATCTTATGTTCAACAATATACTAATTTGGCTGTATATTCACTTTACTACTTATTAAAGACGGAGTGACAATGAAATATTCTGTTATCATATACTGGTAATGCTTTATACGATTACAAAACAAAAATGCCTTAATTCGTCGTCAAGATATTCATCATGTTCAAGCGTTCCATATAAGGAATACACGACGCGGAACACATAATACATAGAGTTCCTATAAAGCTTGTATTCCAAGGTTTCTAACGGTATATAGAATCCTAATACTTCAACACACTTACAATATCTTAAAAGCACAATTTGTTTTTACGTGTTGTTATTTTTGTAATTTTTGATAGTTCTCGGGTGTTACAGGGAGTTCCCCAGGATCTTGCGACGAGTATTTACATATTGCACCTAAATAACTGTAAAATCGGCACTACTGAAAATGGCCGCTATTTTTAAATGAGTGGCCATTTTGAAAATCGGCTTTCGAGCAGAACTTCTACTCCCATAGGGTATATGTGTACAAATTATGAACAAAATCGGGCCAACGGTATTTGAGTTATTGCCCGAACGGACGTACGTACGTATGGACGGACAGACGGACGGAGGCCCGTTCTCTATATTCCTCCGAACTTCGTTCAATGGGATAACTATTAAAAATCAATTTAAATTGTTAGTACATGATACTAAGCTTATAAAGTAAAAATTTGATTAGTTACACCAACCATTGTGATTTTTGATGGATTCCATTTTGATCTAATTTTTCAGTTGAAATTTTACATTATGCTCTTGATATATAATAATTCATGCTTGTTGTACTTCTTTATTATCTATTCACAAGAAATCTTTTAAAACGATTATTTCTTAAAAAATGGACCCCTGCTTAAATCTCAAATAAATGATAAACGGTAATGTTGTGTGATCCTCAACAAGCGATGCCATATTCAGTTATATTAAATCTATCAATATAATCTATAAAAATGATTGGAACTTGAACAGGAGGTAATTTCCAAATATTTGTCAATTCCTTTATCACTAATGGCCGTGTGGCTGCAACGCATTCGTGAACAAACAGCACATGTTACAGCACATGTTACAGTTTCACATTTGAAGGTCGATGAGAGGCTGATTGTTCTCATGAGTAGACACTGTAACCCCATCCAAACTACTATTTCTAGTATTCTAAATGTGATATACGTTGTAATGATAAGTCACGCCATTGTAAATATGACATGATAAAATAACAGTGAATAATGGAATTCATTGAAACAACAGTCATGTGGCGGGGTTACCGCAACCTGACTTAAACGATTAATAATTCCATATTGAAAAAAATATTATGAAATTTTCCATACGGAGTTTCAAAATAAGTTGAATGTTGGAGACATTTTAAAAAAGATTGTTTTTCAGAAGTTTTTCTGAGCTAGTTTTTGCCCTCGTGGTTCAATATTTTGCTCAGTTGCATTGAAATACGGCTTAAACGTTCATACAAATAGTATATAAGGTATAGCAATATATATAAATATTTCGGAAAAACTTTCTTTTAAATAATTGGATTAATTATTTGTTGTATCCAGTTTTGAATGTTATGTATTATTTATTGGCATGACAAACATCTTTGACGAATACCAAAAATTAAAAAATCAATCAAATTAGTTTTAGACATAAAACACTGCAAGCTGAAGATTTGACAATCTAGTATATATAGTAGTTAGAGAAAGTTCCATTACCTGTAATAACAAAACTATAGATCAAGTATGCTCTAAAGTCGCATCGCTCAGCGAGGGAGCCAGATACAATAGTGGCTGCTGTGGCCGCGAACACGTACTGGAACCACCAGTGAGAGTATCTAGGATATAAGCAAACATGAATAGTTCCACAGCACAAATGTTAATACAAGCACAAATCGTAACAACACTAGTACATATCATGATACATTAGTATAAATGATAAAGAGCACAAATAGTAACATCAGTACATATCGTAATACAGCACTAATATTAACACTAACAGAAATGGTAAAATAAGTGCAAATTTTAAATCAGTACAAATAGTACCATAGCAAAAATGATACCACAATCACAAATGGTAACACAGCACACAGGGCAAAACTAGCACACTTGGTAACACCGCAGACATGGTAACTCTAGTATAATTGGTAAGACTAGTACAAATGGTAACACAACACAACACAACACATGATAACGCTAACGCACTTTGTAACCTCGCACACATGGTAGCACTAGCACACGGCTTTGTAACACGGCACATATGGTAACACTAGGACAATTGGTAAAACCAGCACAAATGGTAACTCAGCTTAAAAGGTAGCACACTTTGTAACACTAAATCACTCAGTAACAGAACACACATGGTAATACTAGCACACTGCTTGGTAACACGGCACATGTGGTAACACTAGGATAATTGGTAAGACTAACACAATTGGTAAGCCAGCATTAAAAGAAGCACAATTGGTACACTAAATCACCCAGTGACGCAACACATGATAACACAGCATAGGTGGTCACACGGCACAAATGGTAACACTGGCACACATTGGTAACATATCATATGAGGCCGACAGTTGAAATAAAAATACTACCTCGAGGAGGGCATTCCATAGAAAGCCCACCACTCAGTTCCACAGAAGAAATTTCCTTTCCCATAAGCCAAGGCGTACCCAACCAGCCAGTAAGCAATGCAGCCTACAACTGAAATATCAAACGCATGATGTGTTATTAATCTCGCTCCCTTAAGGCCCCGTAGAAATTTAAACCATTAAGTCTTTTGTCTATCCCAAAATAATCAAAATGTAAAAAACACAATTCTAAAATTTCAGTGGTTTTTGAACATTTTGGTTAGAAAATGTTTGATTCATTGCTTTCGTCTGAAAATAGAAGTTTGGTATTGTATGTATCTAAAAGTTCTGAAAATGTATTTTTAAAACTAAGTTGTGAACCAGAGGTTCAACGAAAGGCTGATAAATACTTTTCTCCAAAAAGTTATTTTTTCATAAGTTAAGAAGTTATATATTTATACAGATTTTTTCAAATTAATGTGTCACGACAGTAGTTTTCGCGACATCATATCATTTTAAGGATAAAAAGATATTTGAAATCAGTCGTTCGAAAAACACAATGTTTTTATATCCGTCGGACCTAACCGATAAAAGTCTAACCTTGCCCTGATATGGCCAATGGATATGATATATACGGGAGAATTGCTCGTCCCATGCATCCTACGCAAAATATTAACCAGCATGTCCAGAATATCAATTAAAGTGATTTGTTGTTTTCTTCATGAAGTTGAAATTTCTTGGTATGCATTTTTCTAAAAAAGCCTCAAACGGACATAATACGATGCACTAGTATGGTTTTCAAACGATGGCTTGTTTTTCTCAGATATTTGTTGTGCCGGAAAGCTCTTCATGTCACGAAATGAGAATTTTAGCGCTGACCTATTTATTGACGTCTGTCAAGCCCCACATGTCTATTGAATGTATTTTTAATAAACCGCTAGCCATGTAAAAAGGACACCTTTATAGACGAATACATAAGGTTGAAAAATATTGAACACATTTTTCAATATGACATCTGTCGAAAAAAATAAAGTGCGACAAACACTTTCTTGAAATTGAAAAAAATACACACTACATTTCGATAATATTCACTGGTACTCACCTAGTTACCCTGACGATAATTTTGCTCAAAGTTAAGGAAGATAGTCTAGTTTGATAATATGCAGGCGGTTCTATGTTTGGAATATTAACGAAGACGCAATTTACATATTTAGTCCCTCGCTTTTGTTACGTTGACGATCATAACGAGGGCCTCATTCGTTTCCCCGGTTTTGGCATTCGCTTTAGCAAGAGCTACGGTATCGCCATCAAGCCTATGGCATAATGGGGTCTAATTAAAAGGGCCCTATCGGCTGCTAGCAAAAACCTTTTCAATTAAAACAAGATATCGTGAATTATAAAACAAAAAAAGCTAGATATGATTTGATTCTAAATATAGATGGTGCTGCTTTTTGTAAGATATTGAATGCTGTACTTACAACTGTCTAAGAGATTCTTGATGAGAATATTAGTTATGTTCTTGCTCCTAACAGACCCTGCCTCAAATAAAGCGAATCCTCCTTGCATCACTGGAACAAATAAACATTTGTGCTATACACTGGGTTCGAACCATGGTCCTCTGGGAATAATACATGTTCTTCATAGACGCTCATTCCCAAAATTTTAAATGTACATGTATATGTAGATAAATATGATTGTTCATATATGAAATATCTAGGCACTACTAGGCAGATTCATCAATTTTGAAAGTGAAGAATAATTTTGTTGAGTAATGTTATCGTCAAATCATCCATGTCAATTGTCAAATAGAGTAACATTAATGCAAAATCACCTAACATGTTAAATAGAGTAATATTAATGTCAAACCATGCAGCATGCCAAATAGAGTAATACTAATGTCAAATCATGCAACATGCCAAATAGAGTAATATGAGTGCCAAATCAACTGACACGTGCCAAATCACCTAACATGTTAGATAGAGTTACACAATGTCAAACCATGCAACATGTAAAATAGAGTAATACTAATGTCAAATCATGCAACATGCCAAATAGAGTAATATGAGTGCCAAATCAACTGACACGTGCCAAATCACCTAACATGTTAAATAGAGTAATACTAATGTCAAATCATGCAACATGAAAAATAGAGTAATATGAGTGCCAAATCAACTGACACGTGCCAAATCACCTAACATGTTAGATAGAGTAACACAATGTCAAACCATGCAACATGTAAAATAGAGTAATACTAATGTCAAATTATCTAACATGTCAAATAGAGTGATATCAATGTCAAAACATCTAACATGTAAAATAGAGTGATACCAATGTCAAATCACATCATATAACATGTAAAATAGAGTAATATTAATGTCAAACCATCTAACATGTCAAATTGCATGTATAATTTCAATTCTGATATTACAACCTATGTTAATTTACTTTTGGTATTTTTACTTACGATAACATATTATCCCCATTGTAATGAGGAAGAATTGGTCAGTGTTCTCCATGAGACTGACATTTGCCTCCTCTGCAGCAACCACACGCTGCGTCAATCCCTCAATCTTTGCCAGGAGTTCCGATGCATTTAATGATGCCATTTTGTTGCTTAAAAACTTCTATGTGGTATTAAAGTATTGTATATTGATCCTAGCTCTATTTTACTCAGAAAATTCGCGCATTATAATCTTAAGAGCAATCAAGTGATGTCTACGCAGGCGGTGCGAGTAAACTTGGATAATTGATCGAAAATTTAGAGTGGAACAAAACCCCACTGAAATGTTTAAATAGGCGTCGTAAAATGTTTAAACTACGATGGCTATTATACTTCTTGCCTCCTTACAAAATGTAATCAAAATCAAATAGTTGAACTTTTTTCGTTAATTTTAAATGCAAATTGAAGCATGTTTATGCTATCTTTTTGCTCGTATTTTCAGAATAGATGTCCATCATTGACTTTGGTTTTTACTAGTCATATCATTTGGTTCGCCTCGTTGTTGACCTCATATGCCTATTTTTAATTGTATTTAATTGACAGACTCGGTTGAAAAAGAAATTAAAAGTTAAGATCGCAAGCGGAAAACATATCATTTTAAAAGTTATAACCTATTTTGAATTCAGGATATTTAGAAAAGGATTTGCCAATTTGATCGCCTTATCTCTTGACATAAACATAGCTGCAAGATCGGAGGTGCATAAAACTTCATTTGAATGGGTGGTTAATGTAACATTTACTAAATCTCTCTAACATGTCAAATAATGCAGAGAAAATAGTGCATTTTACAATATAAAAATGGTGAAATATTTGAAGATATAAAAATTGAAAGCTCAATAACTTTTCTTTAAAAAGTATTCAAAAATGTCGAAAACATCTAATAAAGATATGGCCGGGGTTAATTTCAAAGATAAAAATACCCTCAAATTTTACATGATACCTTTAAATTCTTGTCATATATTTCAGTTTTTTGAGTGAGTGATGTAGGGGTATAACTACAGGGTGGGCCAAAAAAACCCACCCCCCTAGCCATTATTCCTGATAAATATTTATTTTTTAACATGTACACCAACACTGATATATCATTTTAAAGAAAATTTAATTTGCAACAAAATGATATATAATAGCACCATTTTCAACAACCCAATATAGAAATATAACCAATTATGTGACATGGGGGTCAAAAAACACCTTTTCAATTTTCATCGATTTTGAGAAGAATAGCCTCTTTCTACCAAATTTTACTGTTCATTTAAATATTGCAATATTGTCATGAGTCTTTCATAATTGGATATTATATATTGTTTTCATTCAGTTTTTGAACCATGCATGCTCAATACACATGTGTATGCTTATAAAACAAATTAATTTCTTCTCCAGTCTGTCCAAATATGGCTCAATAGACCCACCCCCCGGACTCATCCTCTGATCAGATTATTCACTTAAGACGCGGAAACCATTGGTTGATGGCATAATTGATGGATGTATGCGGAAGTACCATTCAACTGCTAGTTATTCTTTCTTTTAGTTCCTTTACATCCCTGATAGGTTGGGTATCTTTAAATACCAACTGTTCTAGATGCCCCCAGGTATGGTAATCAACATTATTGGCATCGGGACTGTCAGTAAGTCATTTGTCCAGGCTAGAGATGGTGTCATTTCGAATCTCCAAAAACTCCAGGGTAGCATTGGACCTGTGTGATGAAGCATTTTCCTATCAGAAAATGAAATTTCTTTCACATGTTTTTCCTATCCTTGAGGAGTCCTTTTTAACACCTCATGTCATTAACATTCAGAGTATATTTTTGCTCTTGGTTCAACAAAAACAGGGCCTGTATGGTCTTTTCTTTTTGGGAAACACCGTGTGGACACCACTACCCATTCAGAAAAATGTCATCTCGATTTGTTTAGCCTTTTATCGCATATGTCCCTATTCTTACTTACTGATATACATGTATGTAGAGTGTATCTTGTTGATTACAAGACTGTATAGTACTTGGGGCATTTAGAACAGTTGGTCTATGAAGATCACAAGCCTATCAGGGATGTGGACTTCCGCTGAGATCCATCAATTATACCAATGGGTTTCGCGTCTTTAGCGAATAATCTGATCAGAGGATGGGTCCGAAGGGTGGGTCCATTGAGCCTTATTTGAACAGACTGGAGAAGAAATTAATTTTTTTATAAGCATACACATGTTTATTGAGCATGCATGGTTCAAAAACTGAATGAAAACAATATATAATATCCAATTATGAAAGACTCATGACAATGTTGCAATTTTTAACTGAACAGTAAAATTTGGTACAAATAGGCTATTCTTCGCAAAATCGATAAAAATTGAAAAGGTGTTTTTTGACCCCCATGTCAAATAAATTGTTATATCTCGAGCCAGGGTTGTTGAAATTGTTCTATAATATATCATTTTGTTGCAAAATAAATTATCTTTAAAATGATATATCATTGTTGGTGCATATGTTCAAAAATGAATATTTATCATGAATATCGGCTAGGGGGGGTGGTTTTTTTTGGCCCACCCTGTATAGTCAAAACCTTTATCCTCAGGTTAAAATGCGACAAATCAAATAATTTGGAATGTTGAAGCTCGTTGTGACAGAAATTGTGGTCCTCGGGTAAGAAAAACTAAAAAAGGACAAGAGAAGAACAACTACAATATACCAAAACTGAAACTGCACTAAATAACTCTCATCGATATCATGTGATTATGTACCCCAGCTAGGCATTATACAGGGTGAGCAAAAAAAGGTTACCTAAACAAATGTTAATTACTCAGTCATCCAGAGTGGTTTTAACGTCATATTTGGCACAAATGAACCGCGTTCAATGTTCTTTCATTCTACAAAGTATCATCGGTATGTTACACATGGTCATGATTTTGTGGCCAATTTACTAAACATGCTCAAAATGCCCGTCTCATCTCTGGAGGCAAAACTGGATGCATCATGTGATGTTGTTTTGACACGGTCACGTATAGCTTGTGTCATGGCTCTCATTTTCCTTCTTATCTCTTATTTAACTCTCTGATGCTTCTAGGGTTTTTACTATCGTTAAAATAGTACCCATAATAAAAGTTTAGTGTCCACGTTAGGTGATTTTGGCATGTTTCTGCATTTTGAGCTCGTTTTATAAAATGACCATAAAATTGTGACAATTGGGGATAGATCAATGAAACTTAAATTAGTGAAATGAAAGAACATTGAACAGATATGACGTAAAACTCATGCTGGATGACTGATTTATTAACATTTGTTTGGGTTACATTTTTGGCTCACCCTGTATATTGTGCCCATAGGTATGTAGTCCGTTCTAATAGGTGAATTGTTTTCTAGTTCAATAGGTCACCTTGGAGAATTTTTTTTCATAATAATGAAATTAAGTACATATTTCATTTGACTATTACTCACTTGAAAAGTGTAATACAATGTCAACAGGTATTTTCACAAATTGAATTAATATAGGACAGCGCGTGATGAACACATGCACGATTTGTCAATAGCGAATGGTTCAAACATAACTGACTCGACTCAACTCTAAAGCCTGTTTACAATATGAGAGGTATACAACTTAAATGTTCAATTTTTTCATCGAAAATTTGTTACGATACATAAGTATTTTGAATTTGGAATAAGCTTCCATTTTGTACGAGAGCATACAATCCCCTCCGTAAGTTTAGCAATTGCAATCATCGGTATCCTATATTCAAAGTTTAGTACATCAAAGTCTGTCTATTTTATTTCCGAGTTACTATAATTTGGAAATGTATGACAAATTTGGTGATGTTTACAAAAAATCATGAAAATTCCACCACGGATGAATTTTTTTAGTTAAATCCAGCCTTAATCTAAAACTTTTCTTTTTATATTAATTTTTTCGGGCGACATCTTTTCGACACGTATCAAATAAATCTATGGTTCGTTGTTGTGGTCCTTCACTATTCATATTACATCATAACTTACATATTTTTTTACTTTTCTAGCTTTATAAATCAGTTTCTTATTTCTGAATTCTTCATTATTGTTGAAATTCAGACAACTTTCAAAATAAGGAAGAAGAGTCCAAGCTTGGCATTTGGCTGCTACTCCTCTTGCGCATACATCTTACCTGAATACAATGTCCACACTATCACTATGAATTCAAGTGTCGAATTATTTACACTTTCTTTTGAATCTTTAGGTAGTGTACCTGAGTTGAAGTCAGTGTGTTGAACAAACAAACAAACAAACAAACAAACAAACAAACAAACAAACAAACAAACAAACAAACAATCAATCAATGAAACAATAATCAAACAAACGAACAAAGGTGTAATATAGCAAGATTGGTGTAAATTAATTTGGTTATTGAAGTGAACTTTGACACGACGAGATTATTTTGTAGTTTCCAATCGGTAGATAATAAGGCCACACTCCAACCCAACGTGACGTCCAAGTTTATTCGCTAATCGGAATTTGGAGCTTCTGTGACACTTGCGATCAATTTTATGAGTCAACAAATCTTGTTGAAGTTTTGGAATATGACATAAATGGGCTTGCATGTTCAAAGAAAAATACTCTTTCAAGTTTTATTATGTCTTGTATTATATACGAATATAATGCGTGGCTATTAGTATCGGTTTAGTATGTTTAAATAACATAGGATTAACGGATTATATCACGGATTAAGCGTCATAGACGCTGCTAGTGCAAGGAAACCAATACTATAGTCCAGGGTTTTACAAATGGCTAAGTTCTGACGAGTTGGGATAAAATGTGAAAGTGAACACCATCAAAAATAACTAACAGAAACTTCAAGAAAAAGGTAAGACATCAAAATTATTTTGCATAAATGACACTTTAATTCCGCCAAGGAGTACGCAAACATGATATCAGTAATCATGTATAATTAGCAATGCTGTAAAAAGAAACAAAATCATCTATTTTCTCAAATATTATGGACACATCTTTACAGTTTGACTCCAGATAATGCAAGAAGTATTTGAAAAAAGTGTGGTATTTCACTCGGATATACAAGTACAAATTCCAAGAACGTTTCAACTTCTTTAACCGTCAGATGATAAATAAAAGAAAACGGTATTCATTATCAGAGTGAAGACAATTTTCACATTGACGATTTTTGCAGTTCATTATCAGCTTAGAAACTAGTTGAAGTCCAGGTTTCAATCAATTGCGAGTTTGTACGCGCTTATTTCGAATAGAGCGGAACATTTTCCATGGTCTAAAGTATTTTAGTAAAATTGTGAAGTTAGATGGTATGTGCATCACGAAAAATCATTCAGCAACTATGTTGTTACGTCCAATTGTTACTGACCCCATTCTGGCACAAATCCATCATTTGCGAAAATCAATCAGAAGAAAATGTAACAATTAGGCCTACAAACAGTTTGACGCAAAGGAACGATAAATGACTCTATTTAAGGTGACATTCCAACAGTTAAATATGGACCAATAGCCGTCTCGCAACGTGCCATGTTTTCTTGGAACTGTAACATATTCCGTATTAACCTCTTTCAAGAACCATGCACCATTTAGTATCTGCAATTTTAAATTAGTGAGTGACCCTTACATTACATTGGTGGTAAGTTAGTTTGGCGTCGTATTCATGAATATCAAGTATCAAGCAGACAGTATTCAAAAATATAATCAACTCTTGATATTTGCACTAACAATATCTTTAATAGAGTGCTGAATGTTTACATGAGATATCCAGAAGTAAACACGAATGTATGAAAGCTACTGGTCACTTGCTGACGATAATAACTCTTTATCCATCAAATGGTCATACACCCCTCTGACCACTACAACTGATTTCTACAGTGTTGATGACGATAAGATATTTTAATCACTGAACTTCTCTCAATGCAAAATGAATGTCAACAAAACACTCTCCTCCATAAGTTTGGGAACTGGAAGTCCCGAATTGCATCACGTATCAAAGGCTGATAATTGTTTGAGATTTGGAAAAAATCATCTAAATTGTCGAATAAAGGAGGAGGGAAAGTATCGCAACAGATTTCGGACAGTCATATGTTGGATTTTGGCTATTTTCTCAGGATTTAAACAAGTGCATATGTTAGGCCAATGCATTATCTCTAGGAAAATCACTCATAGAGATGATAAAATAATTTCGACTTTGAGACAGGGGAGATGCAAACAACCCACCCACATGTTTTCTCTGAAATGTTGTCGTGATTTTCAACCCCTTCCACCCCTGCTTTTTCAATTTTTGTTGCATTAGTATGTTGCGTTTTGACACACAATTAACCCCTTTAAATGAACAAGTAATTCTTTCAGGGGTTTTAAAGATATCCATTATGGGTGACCAAAATTCGCTGAAAGCAATGGATCGCATGTGATTTCCCTTTGGGAAAATAACATGGGAAATATTTTTTTCCACTTTATCGAATAGGAATTACTTATTCCTTATAAGGGGTCAACTATGACTGTCCGAAATCTGTTGCGATACTTTCCCACCTCCTTTCCAAACTGTTGTAATTGAGGAACAAAATTAAGACTTAAACACTACATTGACAGACTCAAATGTGCTATCATTTGAAAACTTTCAGTTGCCAAACTTATGGAGGAGGGGGGGGGGGGTGTTGGCAGAAGATGTACTATTCTGACTTCATATTCTGATTGGATTAAGTAGATCAATCAATTGTTTTTAATTTGAAGAGTAGTGCAAAATCCAGATCTCACAAAGGGTAGAAGGTTCTTCGACACAGGGTATAATCGCAGATATGTAGTGTATATATATAACTATATTTATATAATAATATAGCGACTTGAACTTTGGGTATTGGATAAACATTAGTGAATTGTACCATCTTGGTACAGTAAGTTCATAGGAAGATAATGATGATCACGCATTTTGATACTCAAAGCATCTCTCTCTGTTGCATCGCAGATGGCTTACCACGATGATGATCATGATATTTTGCATAATTATGGTATTTGTTGTATGAATTGGTATCAAATTGCACTCATTCACAGCGTTATACTCTCACATCATATTATACTTCATTCCCAATTATACTTCATTCCCGCAGTTAACAAGCTTTTGGTAGGGGGATACTGTAAAACTCCCCCTGCCCATACAAAAATCCAAAATAAAATACAGCATCATTCCTGAAACATATGGAACACCCTGTATAAACAAGGCAGGTATCTATGCAGCATGATAAGGCTTGATTTCATAATTTATATCACATCCCGAATGTGACTTGGTAAACATATGAGATTATTAATCAAAGGATATGATTGTTATTCAATATTATTATTCAATTTTAGAAATATATTATTATAATACAACTAAGATTTGAAAGATTATTATCATTCAACTTTTGAATGATATGATTATTATATATTCAGCTTTCAAAGGATACGATTATTATCTAACTACCTTTTCCTTCTAATAATATAAGGTGGGTGAGTGAGTTGGTAAAATGTCAAGAGAGGCCTATAGGATTGGTCTGTTGTTGGTTTCTAGGTTTCTTAAAATATTAAGTTTAGTTCTTGTATTTACTATAGTTTACATGACGGTTGGGGGGGGGGGTTATACCTACCTAGTAATAAATCAGATAGATTTTTGTTGGAGCAAATATGTACACAGGGAGATATGCCGAGTACTAAATTAGTACAAAATAAGTACTAAATTAGCACTCGTGCCATGAGTACTCATGAGTGCACTTTTGCCAGAGTACTAATTTATTACTACTTGAGTGCTATTTTAGTACTAATTTTGTGAAAAATAAAGGTTTATTTTAGTACCGTTTTAGTATCAATATTTTAAGTAATATTTTAGTACTAAATGAGTGCTATTTTAGTACTAAAAAATTGCTCATTTAGCACTAAAATATTGTTCATTTACCCCCCTATCACACCAAACTAGTTCATACCCGTTCTTGCCAGTCCTACGAAAACGTCGTAAAACGGGATCAATCTGGTTGTGGTCGGGAAATATGTCTGAAATAATTAGCTTCTTCGTTCTTAAACAGTCTTCAATACGTCCATCTCGTTCGCAGTTCGTTCAGGTCGTACCACGTCGGTGTGCAACGTAGTAGAACGCGTCCCTTAGTCTAGAAGGTCAACATGACCTGATTACAGAACGGTATGGTCGCCATCGAATTTCGAATCGATTCAAAATTCTAAAATCACATTCCCGTCTGAGAACGTTCATAAAGTTCGTAAATAGACCTTAGAAAGTTGCAGCTACGTTCATTCCGTTCGCACACAGTTTAAAACCAGTTTTGAAGAACGCAGTGGCAACTTGTTCGGTGTGATAGCTATATGTTTGCTAACTCGTTCATAAGCAGTGTTAAATACGTTCTTAAATCCGTTTAAAATTAGTTCTACCTCGTTCCCAACACGTCCTCAGACAGTTCAACTCGTTGTTAAAACGTCCCTAGTAGGATTGAAGTACGACGGTTCCGTTCGTAGTACGTCCAGCTCGTCGTTAGTACGTTGTCACTCGTTCTAATTGTAGAACGTGACGACTACGAGAACATTTTGAGCATTGTCTAAGTTCTACCCGTTCGAGTACGTTCGATGAAGTTTGTAAATAGATCCCAAACGGTTCTTAGTAGGTCCAGTCCGTTCGTACACAGTTGAAGGCCGTTTTCGAGAACGTAGTGGGAACTAGTTTGGTGTGATAGTAGGGTTACTAAATAATAAGCACTCAGTAGGTATCATTGTAACTAGGATACAATTCACACGCTACCTTTAATTTTGTTATTTAATCTTACTCCCATGTGAGCTTATAATTGTAACACATATAGTACTCACTTACCTTGCAATTTTAAGAACTTCTCTATAATTATCTAACCTCATCTTTCACTTATTCTAAGTGACAAATCAATGTATATATATATGCACTTTTCTCAAGAATGGAATAGTATGGTGTCTGTCATTTTGTTTCCTAGCTTCAACCCGTTACATGAAATAGCTACAGGAATGGGAATTTTTGGAAAAACTTCACGATATATTTTTCCATGTTTTCGTTTAATTAAAATGTAATTAATTACGTATTCTATATTTACTTCATCAATTAAATTTTTTTTTATCAACATTTTAATCTTTGAGTACTATTCTATCACTCGTGAAACATGAGCAATAAATTAGTACTCATAATATGAGCGCTCATTGAGTAATGAAAAATCAATGAAATTAGCGCTATTTTATCACTCATCATATGAGTACTCATTTAGTACTAAAACATGCAATTAATTAGTGCTCATAGTATGAGTGCTCATTGAGTAATGAAAAATCAATGAAATTAGCGCTATCTTATCACTCATCATATGAGTACTCATTTAGTACTAAAACATGCAATAAATCAGTACTCATATCATGAGTGCTCATTTAGTACTAATATTTGCTGAAATGAGTACTCAATTAGCGCTAAAATGCCATGAGTACTATTTTAGTACTCGGTATATCTCCCTGTGTATAGCATCTTGGCACAATCTTACAATCGTTGAAGTGATGGGTATTGTATGATTTCGGGTTTAAAGATAGCTGATATAGCCTATGATAAGTGTAAGATGAATGTTTTAATAACTTGATGAGTAAAGTAGCATTTTGCATCATTGACATCTTCACCTTTGGAACATCTTTCAGTCACGGTTGACGTTATTAGGAGATAATGTTCATCTTATAATTTATATTAGGAAATAAACTTGTTATTTTTAGCACTCTCAACAATTAATTACCACTTTCACATCAGTGAATATGTAGAATTTAATGACTTGCTACTTTTTCCAGGATGATATAAACAAAAGTGGACTACTACAAAAGTGTCTTAGCATTCCCAAACTTTTATTCCATCTCTGCTCTACTCTATATGAACTTGAAACGAGGACCGTACTGTGGAATTTCGAATGCAGCATACGATTCTGTTACGGGTGAATAAATAAAGACCATATACCAGAGGTAAGTGCGTTGCTCATTACATGATTTCCGACTGTGATCATTAAAGCGGTTTTAGAGTTATTGCAACGGTACAGCATCTTGCGTTCTAGTGTTTATATTGTTTTTAGATCGTTGTTCGTTTCCGTGTGATTGTTTCTAAATTGGTTGTTATACTATGTTAAGTCCAGTTGGTTCATTTATATCATGAACAATTTATTTTCAAAAGTGCGAAAATATTAACTAATTGTAGCGTTTGCTCATAAGTTAAAAAAAGCTAACATAAACAATCGCACGACGGAAATATAATGAGTGAAGAAAGTTTAGAGCCATTTGTGATAAATGCCGAACAGGTAATTGACGTTACACCTTGTATGTTGTATCTCGAATCAAACCAGAAATGAATTATGGAACTTTTGTTCGAAATAAGATGTATTATGTAAGGTCACATAATCCAAGTTCTTGCAGTTCCCTGCAAACAATCACAGTAAACCTGAAGTGGAAAACCTATTCTTTAGTTCAAGATAGAGTTTGTTTATGATATTATTCAAACTTTCCAACACAGAAAACCTATGATTCCCCGTTTCAATTAGGCTTAAATAAATGCACGGAATTATTGACTCAAAGTAAAGGTTATCGCAGTAAGAAGGGATGTTTAACAAGAACCGATTTGTGAATGTTAGATTTCACTTACCGCTAACTCACCTCCATAAATAACGACTAGGTAAGGAAGGTAAAAGTAAGGAAGGATAGATTATCGCTGTTAGATCCGGATCATTGAAGAGTTGCATGAGCAAATTGCAATCAGCACTCAGATCGGAGTTCTGGATAAACTGCACGCCTAAGATCAAACTTGGAAATATAAACATCGCAACTTCACGCAACGCAGGATCGCAGAGTAGACAACCAGTTACGAAATAACAAGAAACATACACGGATTTTGAGTATTTTGACAATATTTCGCGCGACTGATGACCATTGGTGCATAGTATGATCTGCACGAGATATGGCCCCGGCAATGGCATCATTTAAACTGTGACAATATCTATAAACTCACAAATGATCCCGAGCACCAGGATTCTAGATAAATGAATGACGTAAAGCTAACAGTGAACGGCATCCTCACAGTTTGAACGATAAAACGTGGAACAGGTGATCTTCATTAAGGATTGTGTAACGTACCTTTACGTACAAATGGAAACTAAATGAATGCAACTTTTCACGTTTAATTGATAAGAAGTCTGACAGCCAACTAAAGAAACGTTTCTTTCTACAATTTACGTTAAACATTGTAATTAGTTTTAGAAGATGACATTATCTGTAATCTGCATTGGTCCGACGTATCTAATGTACTAGAAGTATTAAAATCAGAATTTTGGAATTGGCGAATGAAGAAAAAACTGACCAATGATACGATGTCTCGGTAAGTTAGTAAGTTAAGTTAGTTGAGTTAGCAGTAGGTAATATTGGTTCAATCAGTGTTTAGTTTGAGAAAGTATGGAATTCTAACTAATTGCTTGTAAATCGCCAAAATCCAATTTAAATCAAACTTAAAATACGTTACGTATTGTGTTAATACCTTCAGTTATTGTATTCAGTATGCTTCAGTATTGTTATTGATTTTCTGTTTTAGAATGTTGCCATCTGTGTATTCTTATTGACATTTTCCATTTACTGATATGTCTATTTTTGAAAGCACCCAATCTGATGGATCACGTTCAATCTCCCATCACTGTCTGTTTCATTTAATCTGTCTAAATTCCAATTCTCTCTACCACATGGTTATTTGCTTTGATAGCAAAAACGTTTCTAGATAAAGGAGGAGTCATAATGTATCTAATCTATACTGTTTCTCGACATGGGTTTGGTGAGCCTCCTTTATTTGGGAAGATGCTCGACATATTTAAGGCAATCACTACTTGCTGTGTTAAACATTCATTTGACGAGTTAAAAATAAATTGTAGAACACCTTTAAAACAGGAAAAGGAAGAGAGCCCTTGTTTTTACACTATCTCTAGAACGTCAAGTTATTTTTACAATTAGAGAGATTTCTCAAAACGTTTCTAGGCTCACGTCTTTGTAGTAACGTATTGATGGAAAACCCACGTTTTCACATTTAAATATGCAGTTGCGGATACGTGAGGCCAAAACACAAAATTCTGCGAAACCTCCAGATATTCCTTTACCGCACTTTGTTCACATGCTTATGAAGTAGAACTATACCTAGGAGGTACACATAATGGATTGTAAGTGCTATTGAATAATGCAATGTACACTCATAAATCTGCAATATCTCGATATACGTTGGGCGTGAAACTTACGAAATGCTAGTGGAGGGCATATTTGACGAAGATCACTATTAACCAAACAACTGAGGTGGACGGATGGACGAACTATTCGTGAACCAGAATCACTCTGCTTTATGACGTAGGAATTAACTTTAGATTCTAAGAGGTTAACTCTAATGGGGTTTATATTAAGGATATAAAAGGTCAGTATAAAGAGCCCCAAAGCAAGTCATTGAGGACTCGAGCACTCTTCAACAACCCGTGTGGTGTAGAGTGACATAGCTTGGCATATGTAGGGGGCTAACTTTAAAGAGTCACGATTTCATCAAAAGTCACACAAATAATCCTGCAATGGCCAAAATGCCCTAATACGTCACTTCCGCTGAATAGAAAAAAGTAGTATTCAAAAATAAATGTAGTCCCAACACAATTGTGATCATGCCGAGTCAGTAAGCTAGTATGTAGGCACAGTTGTCATCTTTTTGCAATGACAACATGCCATTTCTTCTGAAAATGCGTTTATTTTGGTTATCTGAAGGAAAATTTCGAGTCAAGTGGCGTATTAATTTTGCCTTCATTTTTGTGAATTTCAATTTGTGTCGGCAGAGAGAGGGGGTAGTGTCACAATTGACTAATTATTTCAAAAAGTATATGGTTGGCCCCTATTGAGTTTAGTGTCAAGATGTAGCTTAGACATAGCTTTAGAACCTCAGATAGGCCAGTGAGGCCATATAAATCCATAACTCGAGATAAAAAGTCAGGCGTTTGCCCTTTTGCCCATTGACTAGTAGGTGACGTGAATTAGGGCAGTTTTGCCTATTAGTCACATGTGAAAGTGACCAAAATTTTTTAAAACTACTCAGAAACGCCCAGAATTGAAGTTTATTAGTGTGGAACATATTCTGGACGGAGGCAAAAAGGGGAATTTTCATGAACAAATTTAATGTTTTTGCTGAATCAGCAGTTTTCGCTTTTTACCCCAAAAACCACTGATTTTGACGATATTTGGCTACAATTTCGTCCTTAATGACCCCTAAATGTCATATGTTGTCGTGAATGGGGAAGCCAATGAGTTGCTATTCATAATGAAGATTGAATTGTCCATCTTATGGTTTCCAGTAAAGAATGAAGGTACATATCGGGGGTGCAGTCAGAGATTGGGTGAGTTAAGTGTCAATTTTGGATGTATTTGTTCACTCTGAATGACTAAATTCGAGCTAAAAACATCTCAAAAGTCCCAATTCTATAGGCCAGAGTCAAAACTGATCAAATTTGTCATCATTTTTCACATCAGGAGGTTGTTGAATGGAATAAAGTATGAAAAAGTGATAATTTTAGTAAGATTTTGCCAAAAAGTAGGCCAAATTTGCCCAATTTTCTGGTTCACGGTTCAGTGATTTTGGCTAAAAATCGCAATATGCAATAAAATACTCAATTTCTTGTCACAATAATGTAAAATGTCACCATCAGGCATTGGATTTCATGATGTAAATGAAAAACTAGTCAAATTTAAGGGAAACCCATTTGGTTCTTGGAAAAATGACCCCAGGGGTAATGAAGTAGCCATATTTTTCATAATTGCTGTCAGAATATTCTTAAACTGCACAAAACTACTTGAAAAACTCTAGTAAATTGGAAAAACGCAATTTAAAGCCAGAAATCATCCAACCATGTGGCTATTAGGCCAAAATGCCCTAATACGTCACTTCCGCTGAATAGAAAAAAGTAGTATTCAAAAATAAATGCAGTCCCAACACAATTGTGATCATGCCGAGTCAGTAAGCTAGTATGTAGGCACAGTTGTCATCTTTTTGCAATGACAACATGCCATTTCTTCTGAAAATGCGTTTATTTGGGTTATCTGAAGGAAAATTTCGAGTCAAGTGGCGTATTAATTTTGCCTTCATTTTTGTGAATTTCAATTTGTGTCGGCAGAGAGAGGGGGTAGTGTCACAATTGACTAATTATTTCAAAAAGTAGATGGTTGGCCCCTATTGAGTTTAGTGTCAAGATGTAGCTTAGACATAGCTTTAGAACCTCAGATAGGCCAGTGAGGCCATATAAATCCATAACTCGAGATAAAAAGTCAGGCGTTTGCCCTTTTGCCCATTGACTAGTAGGTGACGTGAATTAGGGCAGTTTTGCCAATAGCTACTACTTTTAAAAAGAGAATTTTTTTGACTATAGTTGTCAAACTTTCATAACAACTTAGTCGTTTCAAAGTCAATAGGCAATCGGGCGGGATCCTCAAATTGTCCATTTTTACCAGACTTTTTATACAGCAACAAATAGCGAGGAGAACATTTTGGTTAGAAATAACAAAGAACGCCACTTATTTCAAGCACTATAAGTAATGGAGTCTAGAAGCTAGTCTCACAGAATATGATCTTAGAACCTACTCAGATTTGCTAACCTTGACCACAGATCGACTTGAAGTATTTATTTTTCATGTCGATTCCTCAACCATCTGGGCCAAAACCTTTTCATTTCTGATAATAGTAAACGATAGAAAACATTTTGTTTTGGGAAAATGTTATTTAAAAAATTGTGCTCCATTATTCAATCAAACTGCACAAGGAACATTGCTAGAAGCAGAGTGTTTGATATTTCTTATTTTCGAGGGATCTTCATTTGCGTTCTAAGATATAACAGATTGATATAAATGACTTTTCCCATGTTTGATCGCCTAAATGAGAGATAACAGATAGTGGAGTTATTCTTTCTGCAATTATCATC